CTTATGAGTTTGCTTTGCCTCCTAGTCTATCAGGAGTTCATCTGATTTTTCATGTGTCTATGCTCCGGAGGTATCATGCCGACATGTCGCATATGTTAGATTAAATCACGTTCATCTAGATGAGAGCATGGGTTATGAGGAGGAGCCAGTTGCCATTGTTGATAGGCATGTTCGCTACTTGAGGTCCAAGAAGATTTCTGCGGTAAAGGTTCAGTGGAGGGGTCAACCAGTCGAGGAGGCGACTTGGGAGACCGATGAGGACATACAGAGCAGATATTCACACTTATTCGACACTCCAAGTATGATTCTAGGCCCATTCGAGGACGAACGTTTGATTAAGAGGTGGAGAATATAGAGACCTGACCGATCGTTTTTCTTTCTAGATCTTTGTTACCTTAAATAAGACTCTTCGTATGTGCCTTTACTATTTTATGACTTGCGGGGATGGTTAGCTTGGGTTTGGCAGGGTTCAGGTTGAAATCGGAATATTTAATTCCTTAATATTGGCTTAAAAGGGTTGAGTTTGACTTAGGTCAACATTTATAGTAAACGATCTTGGAACCGGGATTTGACAGTCCATATAGGTTCGTATAATGATTTTGGACTTGGGCGTATATTCGGATCGGATTTTGAATGATCCGGGAGCGTTTCAGCGCTTAATATTGAAAGTTGGCACATTGAAGGTTCTTCAAGTTCTTTAAATTTGGTTTGGAGTAGGTTTTGGTGTTATCGAGGTCCGTTTGGGATTCCGAGGTGTGGAATAGTTTTGTATGGCGATTTAAGAATTGCACGCAAAATTTGGTGTCATTCTGAGTAGTCTAAGTATGATTCGGCGCGTTCAGAGTAAGTTGGAAAAACTTAAAATTCATAAGTTGATTCGATTGGTTTTGAGGTGCAATTCATAGTTTTGATGTTGTTTTACTCATTACGAGGGTGCGAGCAAGTCCGTTTTATGTTTACAAACTTATCGGTATGTTTGGTCGAGGCCTCGGGGACCCCGTATAGGATTTGGAGGGTCAACAAAGCTAGATTGCTCTTTGGAGAAGAGCTGAAGGTGGATGGCATCTAATGCGTTCTCACCTGCGGTGGGAAGGGCCGCAGGAGCGGCATCGCAGGTGAGGCGTATCGTTCGCAGAAGCAAAGGAGGGAGTCAGCGAGGTCCGCATAAGTGAACTCGCTTCTGCGATGAAAGGGTTTGCAGGTGCAGAGTGAGGCAGCCTGACTATGGTCGCAGGTGCGCGAGCCGAGCCGAGCCGCAGAAGCAGGCTCGCAGATGCGAGATTTGGCCACAGGTGCGGCTGGACGTGGCTTGTGCATGTTCCGCAGATGCGGACAATCGACCGCAGGAGCAGAAATTCTTCCGCAGGTGCAAAAAACCGCTGGGCAGTGAGGTTCATTTAAGTCGAAGACTTAGGCAATTTTGGCTCATTTCTTTCATCTCTTAGGCGATTTTGGAGCTCTTTGAAGAGGGGTTTTCACCTAGCACTTTGAGGTAAGTAATTTCTATACGAGATGAGTTTAATACATGTATTTTGGGTAGGTTTTTAGCACATAAAGTGTAAAAATTGTGGGTTTAGTTGAAAAACCTTGGTTTTGATAAAAATGGAATTTAAGCACGAAAATGATTATGGAATTGGGTGAAAATTATATATTTGAGTTTGTGATGTTATGGGTAACAATTATCTTCAAAAAATTCCGGAATGCGGGTACGTGGGGCTGGGGCTGAATTTTAGGAATCTTCCAATTTGGGTTGGGTAATTACTCTAATAGCTAAATTATTAACTTTTGAGTGTATATTGATTAATTTATATAACATTTTGCTAGCTTCGGATTCTTCGGCACCAAGTTGAGACCTTAGAGTGAATTTCTAGGTGGAAGTGAGCTTGAAAAAGAGGTAAGTCTCTTGCCTAACCTTGTAAGATGGAACTCATCCTCTTAGGTATATCTTGTTGTGTAATACTTATGTGGGGATCTACGTATGCACTAGGTGACGAGAGTCCGTGCGTAGCTGTATTCCATGAAATGTCCAGGTAGTCTTAGATTCATATCATGCTTTAATTGTACTGCTATGTTTGTTATGCATATTAATTATCTTAAATAGAGGTGAGACTAGGAATTTTAAAGTTGCAAATTTCCAATTTAGATTTCTTATTTTTGGAAAGAATTGAGAAATACATAATAATTTTGAGAAATCCATGTCCACTCGCGTCACAAGTACTTCTGCGATTGGGGTAAAGTTCTTTACTCTCATGGGAGCGGGCCGTTCGCCTCAGCAGTATAATAGATGCATCTATGGTTCGTGTTGTTCGACCCTCGGCAGTGCAAACAATATTTTGGATCGGGCCGTACGACCTTGGCATAAATCGTGCGTGATAATACTCGGAGCCTGATTACACTTGATATTATGTTATGGCTTGAAAAGTTATAACTTATTTAATGACCGAAATTGATTTGGAACTAGTGTGTGTCAGATGAAGATTTTGGTATTTACTATCAGTTAAAGGATCATTTATTCACTGCTTGTTATTGTGCTATTTTTATTATTCACGGATTCCATGCCTATTTAGCATTTCTATATTTTATTATTGGCACATAGTAAGTGTTAATGGAGACCCCTCGTCACTACTTATTTGAGGTTAGACTGGATACTTACTGGGTATATGGGATTTGAGGCAGGTGCATCTGGCAGTCATCCAGGTACGCACTCACGTTACCCCGAGGCTTAGTGGTGAGCTGCTCTATGAGGCCGTTTTGCAGCACCCACAATCTCTATTTTGTATTTACTTTCTGTCTACTCTATTTTAGACAATAGCTTAGCGTTTTGTATATTCTACTAGTTGCTCATACATTTGTGACATCAGGTCTTGGAAGCATGCTAGTAGACTTTATGGCTTTTGAGCATTTATTTCACTGCATTCGTTCTTTCATTAGTTTTCGCTTTACTTATTAAATTTTTCACTTCTCACTTATTTAATAAATAAAAACATCAACTACTTTGAAATTATTAAAAAGAATAAATACACCGTTAATTCACCATTGGCTTGCCTAGCGGCGACGTTTGGCGTCATCACAGCCAATAAGAGACATTGGGTCGTGACACTTAGTGGTTGAAAGTTCGAGTTCCAAAATACAAGCGAGGAGTTTATAATGTGTCACGTAAATTGGAGTAAAAGAATAACGAGGAGAAAACGTGGCTACTTTTGTAAAACTTGTGTTTCTTTGATTTGCCTAATTTTTGGAATTCGATTAGATATGATTCCAGTTCTACAATTTAATTAGGAAAAATCGGTTATTTCGCCCAATATATGAGAAATAGAAATAATTAACATACTCTCCGAACTAGGGCGGCATCTTTTGTACTTCCAAATTCAAACTTAGCTCGCATGTTACCCGAGAAGGTTATAGTCCCTCATTCTATAATTGAGAGTATAAAAAGGAATTAATTCAAATAGTCGCTCATATATATATAAAATCAATGTATATCGATTAAAAAATTAAATATTTTTTGTAAAACAATCCCACCCAAGATGTGGCCTCTAATTAATTAAGGGTATACAAGTAATATAAAAGTAAGCGTCTAAAAAAAGTAACTTAGCGATTAATAAAGTAAGGGAGAATCTTAAAGACCATGGTACAAATCCAACTAAGAAAAACGCTAACTTATATCTTTGAGTCATGGTGAATAGAGTTATACTACCTCCGTTCCAGTTTATGTGAACCTATTTTCTTTTTGATCCGTTCCAAAAAGAATGACCCCTTTCTAAATTTGGAAATAATTTTGCTTAAACTTATAATTCTACCCTTAATGAGGAGCTTTTATAACCACACAAATATTCTGGGCCCTTCCTGAATTGTTTAGGACCACAATTTTCAAAAGTCTTCATTTTTTCTTAAATTCCGTGCCCAGTCAAACAGGTTCACATAAATTGAAACGAAAGAAGTATAATTTAGCGGTCAATAAAATAGGTGAGATCCTTAAAAATCATGATACAAATAAGCTAAAATCCAAAAAAAAAAAATAAAACACTAAGTGATATCTTAATTTAGTGCTGCTGAAGTCATGGTGGATGGAGTAATCAATACCTGTGTTTGTAAACCAGTAATCGGTGCAATAATGGATGTGTGTGTAAATTACCGAATATCATGAAAAATAATTAACAGCATAAAGATTAAAAAGATTTCTGTTTCCAATCTATCTGCCTTCCTACCTTAGGCCACGCGAATATTCAATACTAAGTTGCTCGGACACGGATGCAGATGTCCGATATCAACGCGGATCTAGAGGTCAAATCCTTCGAAATGTAAATTTTAAAATTCGTGAATACAGATTTTAGTACGGATATGGGGATGCAAGGATCCGGCTAAAAATAATTCAAAAAATAAAAATATAAAAAATATTTTTAAATTATGATAAATTTTATAGAATACTTATGTACAACTTATAAAGTGTGAATTTCATTTTTATTCTCAAGTTGTAGATAAAAAAATGATTGATTTCCTAGATAATGTATGTTATTTTATTTAAATTTATCCTAATTTTGGTTTTAATTTCGGAAATTAAATTGCATATCGTCTCGAATTTTTTCGCCTGTCATAATTAAAGTATCCAAAATTATTTGACCAAATCCAATACAAATCCTATACCCATATTCATACTAATGTCGCGTGTGCGACACCTAAACTGTCACGTCCGAACAACTCAAGAGTACAGTCATATAGGCACACAAAAGGCCTGTAACGGTACAAAGAAGTTCAGGATAGTGGATACTGGCCAGTTGTTGGTCTCAACACAAGTTCCCAGCACCAAGTTACGTATTACCCGTTACATTTGTTCAACAGGCCGGCCACGTTTTATCAACAGGCCGGCCACGTTTTAATGTAACGTCCATGTCGTGGCAAGATGGTTTGAGTAACAAGCTTATCGTGCATGTGTGCAAGTGCGTATTAGCTGACACGTGCCACGACACGTGTCATAGTCACTCATCCACTTGTAACAGAAAAACAAAATCCAATTTTTTGTTTATTTTTTCCTCTACTTTGAGAAAAATTGATCCGAAAAAGAAAAAAGAAAAAAAAAACAAAAGCATGCAAACCAGTTACATGATCAAGAAGCCGGATTCCCTCGTTGACGATCATGATTGATTCCCCATCTACGGATGCCGAATTGCAAATGCGCCGCTGCGATCAAGAATTCCACCGCTTGCTGTGGCGACAAAAGTTGCACCAAATTCTCTATGGTTTTCATTCTCAGTTTGTCCGCCCTCTCTAAAATGCTCACTAGCCCTTCCATTTTTACATCTATATCTCCCGTCAGCCCAATTACTTCAGTTGCACCATCCTTCATGTACCATATGAAAAAAAATCACACAAATTAATTATTTGCAAGTATGGACTAAAATGGACTTAAATAGAGTGGAAATTAATTGATGATTCATATACCAATATAGTTGAGGTTCTTAGATTCAACCTCAAACAACTCATCAAATTAAATATGCGACGGATATTGTAAGTTACAGAGTGACCTACCAGGATCCACTGAGATTCAGCCGACTGATATGAAAAATAAAATAAAACAGAGAGATGAGTATATGGATGTGCATGCCTGCCAATCGGAGAGTTCATCAGCGATAGCATTTTCTTCCTGAACAGCTTCACATTGAAGTTCGCTGACACGGCGGAGTTGATCAGGAGAGAGATCACCGAGATCACCGTAGCGGAGGCCACGGAGAATGTCGATGATATGGGACTCGAAGAGAATACTGGATTCAGTGTAGATAAGGTGGAAAGCGGTGGTGGGTCGCCAACCGGCAATCCAGTGAAGAGATCGTTCAAGAGAAGTGGACCAAGGTGCAGAAAAAAAGGAGAAAATGTCATTTTTAGCAGCCAAGGACTTGACTCGGTAGTACTCGTAGTAGTGGGACATGACCTTTTGAACAAGCTGTTGGTGCAACTCGTGGTGTTGGTCACTGGTAGCGGGTCTTGGAACTTGGTTCAGTTGATGTACCATTCCCTTCAGCTGCTCAAACCATGCGTCATAGAATCGCTGGAAGCTCATACTTCCTTTTCTTCCTTTCTTGTGTTCTTAGTTTCTTACTTTCGAGTGTTAGGAGAGGTGTGTGTTCAAGTGTAGGTGACTGCAGTCTTTATTAGGAGCCCGGGTAGATTCACTAGTAGAAAACTGTCAAATATCGTTCACAAAAATCGATCGAAATCGGTCGAAAATATAAAAAAATTGATTGATTTTCGATGGATTTTAATTCGTCGTAAGGTGCGGGCGAAAATCGAAGTCGGTCGGTTAATTCAACCTTTGATTATCCACTTTAACTCACAGCTTTTGTTAGAAAAATAAATATATCGATCGAACTCGGTCGGTATTATTTAAATTAATTTTTAATATTTATTTTTTAAAATAGCGATCGAATTTGATCGAAAATATAATTATCTGATAATTTTGTATTTCTTTTTAAATCTTAACAAATAGATCGAAGTCGGTCGAAATAATTAAAAAATAAATTAAAAATATGTTATTTTCGATCGGCATTTTTAAATTTCTGCAGATTTCATATTGAAAATACCGACAAACGGTCGAAAAAGATGAATTTTTGGGTTTTAATATGAAAATTCTGACCGTAGTCGGTCGGTTCTGGGTAAAAACCTGACAGAATATGTATGATTTTAAGCTATACCACCTGCGAATTACAACCAATAACCATCCTATAATGGCAGCATTACATTGCTGCCATTCAACCACAATTAACCAACAACAATAACAATTAACCAACAACAACCACAACAACAACAATGCCAACCACAACAATAACAATACAAATATTCAATAACAAAATAATATCAACAATACAATCATCATTCAAAACTATTCCAACTAAGTATTCACAAGTTCAATACTTTATTTAGTAATACAAACCATTCAATGAGTGTTTTGTATTGCATCACCTCCATATTCACTACTAGAAGCTTCATCGTCGGCATGGTTTGAAGGATCACAACGAGAAGGATTAACATCTGGGGAAGGCTCACGAGATCGGGGAATTGGGGAAGTACAACTAGCAAGAAGATTGGCCAGCTGACCTTGAAGGAGATTAAACTTTTGGTCCCTCTTTTCTAGATGAACTTGAAGGGCATCAAATTGTCTATCTATCTATTGTTTTCTAGCCTTTGTCTCGTCAAGCTCTACTGTCAGCTTTGCGATCTTCTTCTCCATAGACGAGATAGTCGACCTATCAATTACCTCGCCTTGGGCAGAAGTCCCTATAGCTTGAAATCCAACCCTGTAGTGCCGAAATGATCTCTCTGAAAGGCCGTTTGTTATCCCCTTTTTAGGACCACCGACAACATCCAACCATATCTTCTGTGCTTCTTCTTCTGAAACGGGTGGTCGCTTGCCTTGCTCATTCGGTGGCAAGCTCTGAGTGTACTCCTCATTAATCTTGTAGCGACCATTTATTTAGAAGATAGAAAATTATTAACTATATAATATTATAAGCATTAATTTTAAGTTACAGTAGTTATGAAATATACGTATGTAGTCTCCGCCTGGTCCTCGACCCATCTAGTTGGATCAGTCGGTGCCTTCTTCTTCCGGATGTGAGTCTCCATGAAAAACTCATCATGAGTTATCTTCCTCCCATTTTTTTTTCCTACAAATATATTAAAAATATTAACTAAATTAAAATATATCATTATAGTTTGATAAAAATAGAATTAAATATTTTAAGAAATTACCAGTAGTCTCCTCGCAGTCCCCATGCTCCTTGCACCCACACAGTGAAAGGAGCCACCCTTCTCAGATGCTCGAGCCTTCTTTCCCTGTTCACTCTTCTTCTTCTCGAACTTCTCAATGGTCCACTTCCTCAGCAGATCCTCCCATATGTGCGGTAGAACCCATGAAGGCTTCTTGCTCTTCTTCCGAGCAAAATAGAAGGAATCGGATAGTCTCTTACGATATTTGAACTCAAAATTTGCAAGAATGGCACTGTTATGCCGGTCCTCCTACGCACACTTTGTCTGCAAATGAAGTGTGTAACATTAGATAAAACTATTGTTAATATAATGCTTAAATAGATAATAATTGTATTGAAACCTTAAATTGGTTGAAAATTTGCTCCACGAGCTCCGGTGGAAAGTCACTCCAAGTCGCATAGGGTGCATTATATAACCGGCTAAGAGTTTCAGTGATTATCTTTGTAGTCCGATGATTAGGTATGAACCTGCAGCATAGCAATTACATTAAATAAACAAGACTAGATATTATAATTCAGCAAAAATAAGGAAGTAATAAATAAATCTTACTCATTGCCCTCAGGCCTGATGATTATCATATGATAACGATCATACCTCACTTCCTCTGGATCATCTTCCTCCGATGAATCTGAAGCATGCGCAGAAGGGGAGGCATCTAGCTCAGCGCTACTATCTCGAAGGCGAAGTCTAAAAATGCATGGATACAAACTTCTTGGAGAGGGAGACGGGGTCGCTGATGAAGATGGATGTGATCCACACCCCTGCAGTGATCTAGACCCCTGCTGCAATCCGGCTAGCTGAAATCTAGATGGATGTGATCTAGCTGGTGATGAAGCAAATGGAGCAGATGACGGGCGTATTACCACATGGCCTTGTGACTGCTGACTCGATGGACCAATGTAACTATATGCAAGATTATGTGGAGGAAGCGAGGTATAGCCCTGTGGTGGAGAATGGTAAGAATACTGCTGGGAGGGCGAATGATAGGTAGTTTGATATGTAGATGGATGTGGTGGAAAAGATGTGTGCGTAGAATATTGTTGCTGGCCATCAGGAGCGGAGGGATGCAATCGTGGAGTGAAAGGAAGTGAGGGTGTAGCACCATCATCATGATCAATATGCCTCTTATCCTTCCTAGACCTACCTCGACCCCTACCAGTCATCTACATAAATTAAAGAAAATATTAGAATTGGGAATATAAATTTATATAAGTTGAGAGCGCTTGAAAAAACTAACATGCTAGTCGTCTTCGAAGTATCCCTCCTTGTCCGAAAATTCTTCCTCTTCACTTATTTCATTTTCATTAGGTGATTCTTCGTCCTTATTTTCTATGATTGTTATTTTCTCCATATCAACTTATTCTAATATGCGTTGAGGATTCTCCAAGTCATTTTCTAATTGATCATCCACCATTTGGTTAACACTTGAGGTATCATTTTGGTAAGCAACATCTACCACATTCTCAACTTCCACCTTACCAACAAGCTTAGTTTTGATTACAACCAACCAATCAGCCTTATCCTTGATATGGACCATAATTCATTTGCCTAACTTTTTCTGCAATTATAAAAGGATCATAGCGATTATACTCCTTCTTTTTATTAACCTCAATTATGTTGTACTGCGAGTGTACATTTTTACCTCTTCTAGGTGTTGGGTCAAACCACTTGCATCGAAAAAGTATGATCTTCTTATTTGGCAAACCTGAATATGATAATTCTAGAATCTCTTTGATCACACCATAATAATCATTTTCCCCATCCTGGCTGCCTTTACCACCTTTGACACACACCCTACTGTTATTGCATTTTTTTTATACTTGGAGCATTCCTCGGTGTGAAATTTGTAACCATTCACAAAATACTTAGACATAATTATAATAGTAGGTGCAGGTCCCCAAGATATATCTTTCAAAAATTGATTAACATTGTTGTTTGGATTATTGACCTACACGTAGTATTAAATAAATCACAAGTGAGCAAGTATATTCATAAGTGACCAAGTATGTATATTCACATGTGAGAAAGTATATAAGATGCACTTACACACTCTTTAAACCATGCCTCAAATGTAGAATATACAATATCATGGCCAAGTTGACTCACGAAGTCACTGAGCGACACATTGAAAATTTTGTTAGTTGCATCAACCAAATTAAATAATAGTCCATGTAAATTAATCTTACGTCAACACTTACTTAAGAAAGGGTTGAACTTCCGGACAATTTAGCAACACATGATTTGAAGCTGATTTGAGCTTTAGTGCGTCGTTCGGAGGTTTGAGGCCTTGAGTAGCTTCACTTCAGGTATTATTACTTGTACGTATGGTCGGAACTGAACTTCGGGAAGTTCAGAGTTGATTTGAAAAGAAAATTCTAATTTCGTAAGCTTTAAGTTGGAAGAATTGACTAAGGTTTGACTTTTGAGTAAATGACTTCAGAATAGGGATTTGAAGGTTCCAACAGGTTCATATGATGATTTTGGTCTTAGGAGCATGTACGGATGTCGATTTAGAGGTTCGTAGGTCATTTCGGCGTCAATTGGCGAAAGTTGAAAATTAGATGATTTTGGGAAGTTTGACGGGGATTGAACCTTTTGATATCGGGGTCGGATTCTGATTCTGGAAGTTGGAGTAGGTCCGTAATGTCAATTATGACTTGTATGCAAAATTTGAGGTCAACCAGACTTGATTTGATAGGCTTCGGCATCGAATGTAGAAGTTTGAAATTCTAAAGTTCATTAAGCTTGAATTGGGGTGCGATTCGTGGTTTTAGCATTGTTTGATGTGATTTGAAGGCTAGATTAAGTTCGTATTGTATTTTAAAATATGTTGGTATATTTGGTTAAGGTCCCGAGGGCCTAGGGTGAATTCTGGATGGTTAATGGATTGATTTTTTGGACTTAAGAAATGCTGAAGCTGGGCAGCAGCTGCTGTGATCGCTTTTGCGATGTCTTGGTCGCAAAATCGAGGTCGAGCTCGCAGAAGCGAAATGAGAAGGTGCAAGGCAGTGGTCGCAAGTGCAAAGAAATTCCCGCACCTGCGAAATCGTAGAGGCAAAAAATGAAGATGTAGAAGCGGCTGGTCCGCAGATGCGCGATTGACCAATGCAAAAGCGCCTGCGCAGAAGCGAAAATGTTTCCGCAGATGCGAGGTCTCGGTTAGGCAGTGTACTCCGCAGATTCGTATTTTGACTCGCAAAAGCAAGGCTGCAGATGCATAAATATGTCCGCAGAAGCAGAAACTGGGCAGAACATAAGGGGATCGAACTTGGTCATTTCGTTATTTTCAAATGAGTTTTTTGGAGCTCGGTTCTTGTGTAATTTTGAGGAGTTTTCATCATGTAACACAAGGTAAGTAATTTTTCCCTTATAG